CTCATATATGCTAATAAATATTTCAGTATGTATAGCTATGTAGTTAAGGAGTTTCACGGGGGTTACGACATGTGTCCACTAAGAATGCTTTTATTAAAATTGATGTCCTAGAAGGAAAATCTATTGATGTTATAGCTAATGAATCTAAAGCACGCTTGTAGCATGGAAGACTAATCCATTCTAAAAGTAAAAATCCCCAAAAGAAAAGAGAAAATAATTAAATAAAAGATGCAAATATTCATAAAATGGTCCAAGATATTTCGATAATAGCTTTTGGAAAAAGTCCAAATGCTTGAGAAAAATCAAGAGACTTTGATAAATTATGTCAATACAAAGAGAAAATAGGACCGAAAAGAAACATTTATTTATAAGATTTTTGCATATAATACTTCAATTGATATCTTAAATGAAAATAAGGATTCCGAGCCTAAATTTATTGAAGAACGTCGACACAAAGATAATTGGTTTAAATGAAAAGAGCAATCTAGGAAGAATTATGTTTTCTTATAAAAGAGTAGTTTTTTTGAACTCATAGCTAAAACACCCGAAGATGTTAAGCTAGTGGGATAAAAATATGTATTTATGCAAAAACTAAATAAGAAAATTGATATTGTAAGATACAAAGAAAAACTTTTAACATAAGAGTTTTCACAAAGAACTGACATTAACTATAAAAAGATATATTCGCCTATAATGCATACAATTATATTTTGTTATCTTATTAGCCCGACAAAATATATGAAAAAATTTATATGAATGCATTTAATAAATATGATCACAATTTATTTATTTATTTGAAATGATATTTATATGAAAGTCCTAAAAGAACTTAAGATGTCCGAAGCTTGCAATACACATTCTCGAGAAATAAATTCAATTAAATTATAGAGATCTCTATCACAATTATTTTAGTATTAATTTTTAGAAATTCAATTTATGCTATACTTTTTATATTTATTTTTTATTTTATAATATCTATTCTTTATTACTAACCTATGTGCATGTGATATAATTATTTCAATAAATATTTATTGAAAGAAAGTTAAAAAAATACTCATATTTATTCATGTATTTTTATAAAGAAATTCAAAAAGAGGTTTGTGATAGTTGCTAAATATGATGATGATTTAAATATTATTAGAACTCCTAAAAAGATTCCAAATACTATAAGTTAGCTAAAAAGAGAATTTGATATGAATACCTTGGGCAACAAAATTTTATCTCGACTTGCAGTTTGAGCCCTTAGAAAATGATATTTTTATTCATTAGTTAATTTATATAGAAAAAGTTTTACAATTATTCTATATAAAGATCATCCATTAACTAGCCTAATGGTAGTTCACTCACTTGATATCCAAAAAAAACCCTTTTTCAATCTCGAGAAGATAACAAAAAACTACTTGATCCGAAGTATCATATTTTACTACCACTCGTGAAAGGATCATGCATCCTATAGAAGTACGGAATAAATAAAAAATTTTCTCGATTTAAAAACCCAAGATCAAGTCGTTGAATCTACTAATCGTACATGCATGAATTTAAAACAAAGATCAAGGATTACCTCTTGTAGCGTAGATCTAAATTCTTTTTTTAAAAAAAGCCGTTCAACTTGTTCGACCTCTATTGATGATCCACGGAGTCCAAGTATCCATAAAGAAGCATTCAAAATCAATGAGGTGCGAGCTCCACCTTTTTTATTATAGTATTTCCTATAGAAATCAATCCCGGGTAATTTTATGACAACCTTAAAGGAGAAAAAAATAGTCTAGCTTATTAGCGTTCGGGAGAAAACTATTTTCTCCTTAATTTTCTCCTTTGGTCATGTGCCCTCTATTATTTTAAGGCTCGCCAAAACTCTCTCTCTCTAAAACCCTTGTATTGGTTGAAATTCTCTCTCTTTATTTTTGTATTAGTTGTCGCACCTCTCTCTCTCCTATATATTTATAGGAGAGCTTCCTTATCCTCGAGGACAAGGAGAGGGACGACAATGAATCCATAAAGGACTCTAGGTTATTGCTTCTTTATCCTTTAAGGATGAGAAATTATTTTGTATGTGAACTTTTTTATCATTATCTTTAAAACATTCAACCTTCCTCCCACCAAAATATATTAAAGTCTTTTTAATTAAATCTAATGGGCCAAAACCATATTAGCTCAATTAATTTATTTGGACTATTTAAATAAATATTCTTAAATTATTTTGGCAGGGGTCCACATTAGGAAATAATTTTCCAAAATACCATTTTGACTTAAATTAGGAAACTCCTTTCCTTTTAGATTCTTTATTTCTAAATTTGAAATTAACTTCTAAATTAGGAAATCAATTTCTAAAATAAGAAACTTTCCATTTTAGAAAATTTCTCATTCAAGGAAACTTTTCATTTTGGAAACCCTTTCCAAAACAGAAAACTTTTATACTTGGAAACCTTTTTCAATATCCTTGTTTCTCACTTATAATGTGAATACTTAAACTTATACGTGTGACTCAATATACTCCTAGATATGTTGACAATGTATCAAGAACAATAGGCTCATCTTTTATCTCTTGATATATAAATCAAGATTGACCTCTAGAAAGACATCATGACTACCCAATTTTCTAGGACGATTAGTTAATCCATTATCATCTTTCACGAGCATGGTTACCATACACTTCGATCCTCATGTTAACTTATCATAGTGTGATCTTGAACTTGGTTATCGGTCTTGTTCGATTAAGATCACATAAGTTTTCTTCGATTCTTGAATATCTTAGCTATTAGAGTAAACCAACTATGATCTATTGGTGTACTCTTATTGTGGTCATAGATTTCTCGAGTAGATATTTATCGAAGTGCAATGTGATAACTCTTTTAGCATACAAGGAATGACATGTTTTATCTTAGTTATACACCTACCTCCATTGGATTCTTAGTGCACACAAAAAATTATCCACGTGCATCTAATTAATGGGTCCATCGAAACGAATGTCAAAGTGCATAAGTCATCCAATGAGATAACCATGATAACTTCAAGTCTAAATATCATTTGTACCCATCTCGTATGAGATTCCCATAGACAAAAACCAAATGTGTTCTCATGGGAGTTAAGTCCAGTGATATGTTCTCTAACATAAATCACTTAAATGCTTACTTTGCTATCACCATGTCAATAGGTATGAGATCTTCTACTTGTATCATATAGCATGAGCATAGCACTCACAAGTCCGTCCGCATATTGTCAATATTCATTTTTGACAATGCTACAACTTGGGACATTTAATAATATCATTTATTTGCATTAGTATTTGTATAACATCTTTCGATCAATCACTATTGCAAATGTATATCATAAGGACTTTTATCTAATTCTATTGAATTTATCAACATGTCAATATAAGAATTAATAGAATGACTTTTTTATTATTATTAAAATAAATTATACAATAATACGTTAATATGAGCCCATCCAAATATGATTGGATATTGGGCACCAACACTAACACACTAGTGCATTGATATATCTTGCTAATCATACTCGACTCGATATATTCTTTTCTATAAATTTATTAGCAAGTCATAGTTCTACTACAATATGGAGATTGAAATGGAATTAAACATTTTCTATGTTATCTTTGAGAAAAAATTGATATGATATTTATTGCACTTAAATGAATCAAAGTTAGGTTTAATTGATTATGTAGATGTGGGTTATTTATCCGATTTATACAAAACTAGATCACAATGGATTATGTATTTACACTTAGTGGCATAATTATATCATGACGTTCTATGAAGCAAACTATAGTTGTTAAATATTCAAACCATGTAGAGATATCAATTTATGAGGTAAGTTGAGAATGTGTTTGGCTAAGATCAATGATCCATCATATCCGAAAGACATGTAGTTTATCTACCGAGAAAAGAAGCTCCAACAATATCATATGAAGATAATGTTGGTTGCATAATTCCATTAAAGGAAGAATTCAATGAAGTGATAATTTAATATATTTTTTCACTAAGGCATTACCTATCACAATTTTTGAGAAGATGATTCACAAGATTGAAATACATCATCTTAAAGATCTCAAATGATGTTTTCAATAGGGAGAGGCCAACATTGAGATTAATATGTAAAAGAAATATTATACTTTTTTTCTTCACTAGAATTTTTTCCCACTAGGTTTTTTTCTAATAAGGTTTTAACGAGACATATTCCTTATACGATGGACATTCAATGGGAAGTGTTATGAAATAATGAATGTGCATGAACATTTCACATTCCCACTATCTATTATTCTTAATGTGATTCAATTCACCATTTAATATGAGAAATTAAAAGGATGATGTAATTTTTTCAATTATTTATGCATCTTTTAATAGTTTATACTCCCTTCCTATTCTCTCCCTAATCTTGAAGTCTATAAATAGGTTTTAATTGTTCATTAGTTTGTGTATAAGTATTTTGTAGAGATTGAGAGATTATTTGAAGTTGTTATCTCTTTTTTTCACTTTATCCTTTAGTGAATTCATTTTTCTATCATTTTTCTCTTCAATTCTCCGATTATTTTTATTTCTTTTATAACACCTTCCAAATTATAAAAATCTTTTTATAAGACTAGCAATCCGGACTTCGTATGATTATTGTTAATTTATTTCATGATTTTGGATAAATTTTGGATGTCACATTTTTCTTTCTTATTTGCTATTTCTCGAAAGTCTAGAAAGAATATTAGGAATTATTAGGAGAGTTATCTATATATGTGTATTATTTATATAGATTTTGTTATGTTATAAAATGTTTACATAGCTTATGAGATTTAGTTTTTCTATACATCTTTTTCACATATTAAGGGAAGGGAAGGAAATCAATGCAGTGATACGTTGGCTAGGTTGGGTGCTAATCATAATGTGAATTTGCAAATTGATTTTGAAATATTCACGTAGCCTTTTTGCTGCCAAATTAATCTTCAATTTTATCAGCCTTCGCCGGAACAACACCCTCCTCTTGCTCTTTCAAGCTTATCGATCACCTGCACTATAACAATACCCTCCTGCTCTTCGAGCTTTGAGCCTACGCCAACGTACAATCTCTAGTACACCATTGTTCATGGAAGCCTTAATCTGGCCAAGCTTGTACCATTTACCAGGAGGCAAACAGATAGCATGCAGTCAAATACTTCCTCAAATCACTCCCCATCTTGAAACGCTCATCCAAATTCTGCATGCTACACTCATTTCCTTCAGCATGCAGAAAGCTACTGTCCCACACTCCCTCTCCATCAACAACTTCACTCCTTCCTTGGACACCCTAGCCATGTCAATCCATGCACCCAAAACAACATCATCATGAGAATATCCTTTTAGAGCTATCGGGCAGTCTCCTTCAATCATAAATGGGATCTTGAAGTACTTCTTTGTCAAAACTTGAAAAAAAAAAAAAAAAAAAGCAGCAACAACAACAACAATAAATTAACTACTAACGAAGCAAAAAACAGCTTTCAAGATGGAGTTTTTCATGCAGAGGAAACGCAAAAACCTTGAATTTACCTTTGTTTGTGTTAATCATTTTTCCCTTTATGTTTTAAATTTGATTAATTAAACATTGTATTTTTTAAAATAATTTGTTCAATTAAACCTTATATTTTCTTATTTTCCTCAGTTAACTTGATATCTAACTTCTGTCAAGTAAATTATTAACAAAGAAAAATGTTCATTTCTATTCTAAGTTCGGTTAAAAAAACATCCACTGCTTTTTACTTTTGCCAATATGACTTTAATTTGCTTTTCAGATTAATTTTTGTCAACTTTCAAGATTGAATCAATCTCCATCCAAGGAGATATTTTTTATTATTCGAAGTCTATTTTGCTCCTTTTTATTAGTATTAAAAAATATGGATAAGTCATGATTAACATGATCCATTTATCCTTAATATATTTTTTAATACAATCTATTTAGTGATACAATTAAGTACTCCAATTTATTTTAAATTTTTATTTATTGTTTCTTTTTTAAATACTATATCATATTAATTTACACGCAAAGTTAAAATCTAGACTTGACAAAAGCTAGTTATTGTTGAGAATAATAACCGAGTTTGTCTTTAGTTAATAAAGTCATTGTTTAATTTTTTTATATGCTAAATGAACTAGTCTTTGTAATAGTAAAATAATTTAATTATATCTTTGTAATTTAAGTGAATTTTTAATATGTCTTTAAAAAAAAAAAAAATCAGATGACTTGTATATAACTTTTTTTTTTTTGACCGAAAATGCCCATGAAAAAAAAAAAAACTGACTTGTTGGGTTGAGCCATTTACCCTTATTTTTGGGTTTAATCAAACAAAATTATGAGAACAATAATAAATTGAATAAATTAAAGGCACACAAATAGATTGACCAAATTAAAAGCACACACAAAAACATAGGCAATTAACGTTTTCTTCTCGCAGAAAACTATAGGTTGAAGATGAGTTCATGTGAAATTAATGATGGTTTGGTGCCGTTTTAGCAGGCTTCTTGCGGAGATCGGAGAGGATGATATGGGTAATGAGTGAAAATGAACATATCCATTCATCTTCAACAATTAATACGCCAAAAACTCCATTCCCTATACGCTTAGGGACTACACCACTAAACACGAGTTGCTTTACAATTCAAGGGGAAAAAAGAAGAAGCTGATCAATTACTCCAAAACAGCTGGGACATGCATAAACTAACTCAGCAATCGAAGGCTTTGTTAGACTCTAATTGAATGGACAAACCAAGAAAAATTTTTTGGATTTTTGAACGACTTATATTTTGTGCATTAACTCTCTAGCACACGTATTGTAATTAGACTTCTTCTGAACAAGACCAATACAATTAAGATACACATCAAATAATTGAGAGAGGTTTAGACATTACATGAAGTAGTTCCCATGATTGATTGCTGTACGAAACCTAACGTGTCTTGAGGAGCTGCTCTTCGCTACCCTTTTCTGAAAAAGGCTATCACTAGGGTAAATACAGAATATAAATAATAGTACAGGAAAAAGAGGGAGGAATCTAACCTGTTTATAACAAAACCTAACGATTGTTCTAAATGTTCGTCTTAGGTGTACACAACCCCATAAATTGGACCCACTTCGGTTAGAAACTTTTCCGTTTTTCTTTTGAAAATTAAGAATGTTCTAGAAAATGGTAAAAGAGTAGATGGTAAATACGCTGTCTCGTTTTGCAATGCTAATTGTGATTTGAAAGGCAAGAAAAGGAGAAATAAAGCGTTAAGAAGAAAACTAATTTGACAGGAAAACTTTTCTAAGACCTTCAAGCCTATAACACATAAAATGAGCATCAATTTAAGTTAATTTTTCTTTATCTAGATATTAAACTACAATCATATCTCAACGTTAATATAAAGAATTTTGGTTTTGATGGAAATCACGAGGAGTTACTTTCACAGATACTCAAGGTGCGGTTGATACTAATTACCATCATTCTCAGGTCAGCCTTTTGGAGGAACCAGAAGAATTGATATATGATCACGGTGAAAAAGAATTACAAAAAAGAAAACAGTAAATTGATTTCATTTTTACAATAGCCAATAATGTTTTTTTTTTAAAAAAAAAAAATCAATAATAGTTAGATCCTCAATATCTTTTGCTAACAAAGTATAAGGATACTTCCAGCTTTTTTGATAACCGTGATATAATCATATATTACTGAAAAGAATCTTCATGAAAAAATGGAAAAGAATATACTTACAGTACAAGTGGAGACGACATATTCGTATAAAAAGGCTGGGATAACAACTGCAACTTCTGAGATGGCATGATCTAGTTGAGCTACTGTTTATTTCAACATCAAAACTTTTCCAGTAAGGGAGATTCTAATCTAAACTGACACGGCGAATTTTACACACGAGATTTGCTATTGAAAGATCAAGCTGGTTCCCTGAATCTGATTTCACAAGTTGCTTCAACTGGTCTCTTGGTGTTGAGAGGCAAGCGTGAAATGTTGCAAGGACTGGAGGAATTGGCATCGATAGAGCAGAAAGTACATTACTCAGGTATTCAATATCGACAGATAGCTGTTGTGCGCCACGATCTGTTATGTACTGAATACCCCGCAACTGTTCCATGTAAAGAGCAGTGGCACCTTCTGCAACCTGTAGCATGGAAACAACATTGTACCCCCATCAAATTGGTTATATGTTTGCATAAAATGAGAAATTAATGTCCTACGAAGACATTAATTAATCAATAGTCACAGTTTTCCAAATGACTCGGATCTAAGCTTCTGAAGGAATGACTTCCAAGAACCATAATTAGGAACATGTTCAAGGCCTGAAAACTATTCTACGATCTACGGAAGATATCTTGTCCTCAGAAAGTTTGAGCCTGACAGCTGAGATACAGAGGACTAGCTGCATTTCCAAGATTTATCCCAATTCAAGTGCATTTTGGAAGCTTTTTCCAGGTTACAAAGTTCAACTTTTCTTTCAGTTTAGCCATCAGCTAATCATCTTAAAGATCTATACTATTTTGCTGATAAATTCTTCTTTTTCCCTTTCATTGTTTTTGATAGTTTGAGGTCAGGAGATTCTAATTGGACACTCTAAACCCCATGAATTCATCCTAAAGTCCTTTAAATCGAGATTGATGCCTCGTTGGCATGATGTTCTTTGTATCAGCAAAGAAATTTATTTAAAGTCTCCGTTCTTCTAAAAAACTAACACGATGATCACCCTAAACTTCAGGAATTTAAGAATAAGTAACCTTTACCAAAACCAAAAAGAGAATAAACTTGGTCAGCTGGTCACCAGGCCTTCTGGGTTTCCAAATTGGCACATGCATATCTTAGTTGGGTCAAATTTGACATCCAGTTCCTTGTTAGTATCAATTCAAGCACTAAAAAACTATTAAGGAAAAAGTTGGTGGCTTTATCAATGTGGTAGTCGGTAGTTACCTTGAACATCCATTCAGTTGCAAAAAACTGTGCTTCTTCATTGTTAGCATCATTGTTAGATATGCCGTCGGCAAGTGGCTCCAACTGTTGAGGTAAAGTAAGAAGATATTCACCGACACTGGTCACGTAGGACTGAGGGTATGAACTGAAGGTTGGGAGACGGAAAGAAGTCTGTTCATCAACTGCAGACCAAATTGGCAAACGAGATACATCACTGAGGCGCTGTCGTACTTTAGATATGAGGACATCATAAACAAGTTCATTCACTGCATCAGCAAATGCTGCAACTCTCTGTGATGCAAGTGGAAGCGCATGAAAGCGTGGATCTTTGGACTGCAGTGCAACACGATAATATGTAACTATTAGAGGGTTTAAGAAACAATTAGATGGCAAGGAAAAAGAAAAGGGTGTTTGAAGTAAACAAAAAGTAAGACTGAATGGCAAATCGATAGTTTTAAAAACAAAAAACATCACTTCAGGAAGTTATTTCAAGGCCACAGCACCATGACCCCTGAATTTTTCCCAAGTGAGGAGGACAAAGACAGATACTAAATTCATGTACCTGATCTAAAAGGTTAAATAGTTTCCGAGCCTTCTCAGGAGCATCAACAAGTCGTACAGCCACCACATCCAAGGCAGCTCTTCCTCCCAAAGATGGTTCACCATTTCCATCGATATTGGTCACATGAGACTGCTTTAGGTCCAAACTTGACCCAAATACTGAAAGAGACAAACTTGTGCTTAGTCTAGCTAGAGTGGATCTCAAGGAAGCTTCAAAGACAGAGGACCTGCTTGTTAGACAATCTGCAACTGTGAGTATCTGTAAGGCCCCTTGAACAATGGACCATTCCTCTTCATTCGAGACTGAGTCAACTTTGCGTACATTTTGACTCCCTTCCTTTTTCTCCAAACTTATCTCCTTCTTCGAATCACCTATATGATCCACTCCACTCACAGCTCTTAAAGATTTGAGTGTTTCTTGCAGCAAAGAAATGTACTGTAGCATTATATCATCAAGTGCAAGAATCAGTTCTTCTGCCTCAGAACCACCAGTAAAGCTGGTGCACCTTTCTACAGCTGCTTCAAGAAGAACAATGACTTGGGGAATGGACTCTTCCATTCTCCGAACTGTTTCACTCAATTCAATGCCCTGGGCTCCCACACCACGAGTAACAGCTCCCCTTAGATCAACCCCCGCAATCTCAGAGGAGAGGATGGCACGCTCCATCTGTCCATACCTGTAATACATCTAATCATCAGTCAACAAATGGAAGACACTTTGATCCATACCTCATTTAATAACCAAGAAAGAGATGAAAACACAGGCCAGCAGTTATTTGAGACTTGAGCATATATAATAGATAATAGCAATATCCCCAGTAATTTCATGAGGGCAATGTTTCAAATGGAATTGTTAGCAGACCATAATTAGCATTACAAGAACA